TATTGGTTTTATTTGAGGATGATTATTTGATTCGCTCGAGCGATTATGGGATTTATTTGTGGATGATTGCTTGACTTAATTGAGGTGATTACTTGATTAGTTCGAGGAGATATTATATATTTTGCTCGAGTGATTCTTTGATTTGTTCGTGGATATACTTGATTTGATCGAGGAATTATTTGATTCAATTGTGGATATATTCAATTTGATCGTGGATACATTTGATTTGTTCGTTGATATATTTGTGCGCACATAATGCGGGTTGTGGTTTCAAATGGAGGATATTTTAGGATTGTGTTTTATCGTGTTTTTTGGTGCACTTATCTATGGGCTCGAGGAGTTGGATTAAAATTATATGATTCGATATCTTGATATGTTCGAAGCCTCTCATTTGAATTTTCATGTGAAATTATGGATTTTGTTGAAATGGATTATTCGTAATTTTTAAGCATGTCATTGCTCGAACATGTTTTAAATCGCAGAGATGGTGATTTTTGTATTTGATCTATCGTTTGTCTTGCGTGGAGCATTGCAAAATTGATGACATGAATATAATGTGGATAATGATATCTCTTTGAATTCTTGTCGAGGAAACGTCGAAACAACATGAGTCGGGACAAGCTATGGTAGACGAGTTGGAGAGTTTCGAGGACAAAATAAACGATGGCGCTAATCGCCGGAGGTAATTTCAAAGGCGTAATCGTTCTCTTTTGGAGAGGTATGATAGTGGCATTATCGAACTTCAGGCATAAACTCTTGTGAGCGGTCAAGTTCGACCAACGCAATTTATTGATACATGGAGTCTCTTAGCATACTTTTTTGGAGAAATGTTCATTTTCCTTGGATATTCTGGGCGAAATGTTGCTAGATTGTGGTGTATATGGATATGTTTAGAATTATTATCCAGGTGATTAACAAAATGTCAAAAATGAGGTGTTTGTGGAGGCTCGAACATAAATCTGGCATGACTAAGGCCTTTAGGCTGGCCAGTTTCGAGTCATCATGACTACAGAGCTCGATATTGGGAGTAATTCATCTCAACTTTCATTTGGTGCATTCGTTTAATGGTTTATTTGTAGCTACAGATTATGATTTATCGTAATTGTTTGTTGAATTCATGGTTGTGTGAAATTCTGGTCGATTGTATATTGGAGTGGGTGTTTATGTGACTGCATATTGTGTTAAAGTTGTTTTCATGTAAATTGAGGTGTGGTATAAAACCATGTGGACCAACGTGATTGCCTTGATTTATTAATCTCATGTCATGGTTGCTATTGGGATTGAAAATGGGATGATGTGGATAAAATACGACTAATAAAATTGTTGAATTATTGCTGAGGAAAATACACGAACAGGAGGATTGGGTATCTATGTACACTGCATGGTTGCAGTGAGGAATGGACAGTGGGAAGTGAACGACAATACAGGTTGTCATGCACAAACATGAAAGGGAGGTAAAAAAATATACTTGATTTATTTTATTTTGTTCGATATAACTATGCATTTGATGAGGCTAATGAGAATGATTGATTACTATTCTATCTCGTGGTGTTTGGTGTGTTTTCTTGTCGACTTCAGTGGCAGGTCGAAGTGTTCGATCAGTTCGAAAGGAAAAAATCCACCATGACTAAGGCCTCCGGGCTGGGTGGTCGCATGTATCGACCACTCCTTTGAGGGTGGACATGTGTTCGAAGACAAAAAATCCACCATGACTAAGGCCTCCAGGCTGGGTGGTCGCATGTATCGACCACTCCTTCGAGGGTGGGCATGTGTTCGAAGACAAAAAATCCACCATGACTAAGGCCTCCGGCTGGGTGGTCGCATGTATCGACCACTCCTTCGAGGGTGGGCATGTGTTCGAAGACAAAAATCCACAATGACTAAGGCCTCCGGGCTGGGTGGTCGCATGTATCGACCACTCCTTCGAGAGTGGGCATGTGTTTGAAGACAAACAATCTGCCATGACTAAGGCCTTCGGGCTGGGTGGTCGATTCTAATGTTGGGTCGTTGAAGATATGGAGCTTATTCGAGACCTCAGAAGCAGGTCGAGGATCTTTACATGGTTTTGATTTTGTCGAATTGATTTTTCGACTTTAAAGAAAAGGAGATGGGATTCATTCCGTCACGAGCATGAGTATACAACAGGCTTGAATTTTAACTTTTGAACTGAGGGGCGATAGGACGAGGTGGTATAAGAGAGCTCGAACATGGTGACCGAAATACAACAGACGTAAATTCAAATTTTCAAATTCAAGAATTCAGAGAGTGGTCATTCAGTTCTTGTTTTTCGACCTCAACGGTCTCTCGATGCTCGATTTTCGGTTTCTTGATTTTCGATTCTCGGCGTTCGACCTCAGAGGTAGGTCTCTCGATTCTCGATTCTCGGCGTTCGACCTCAGAGGCAGGTCTCTCGATTCTCGATTCTCGGCGTTCGACCTCAGAGGCAGGTCTCTCGATTCTCGATTCTTGGCGTTCGACCCCAGTGGTGGGTCACTCGATTCTTGATATTGGTGGTAATTCGGTATTCATTTGGGGTCCCGATGCTCACTTGCAGGATTGATAACTATTTGGTGGCCGAGGATTTATTCAAATGGTGACCTCAGTGGCAGGTCGACGGAAATAATCCGAAGAGGAATTTTCAATCTTGCATCGAGTCATGCTTACTCGACCAGAGTGGGGGGGACTAGATGATATAGGATATTATACTGGACCCGGTTTAATCGATAAAGCGGATATATATTGAAGGATAAGCCCACTAAGACATCTAAGCCCAACGATAGGGGTCAAGCCCAACTTTGGCCCAAAAGGTACACTCCCCCTATAAAAGGGGGCCAAGGTACCTCATTCTCTCATTCTCTCATTCTCTATTCATTCATTACTGCACTATCTCTCTCTTGGGATTGGAGACTGACTTAG